AAAAAAAAAAAAAAAAAGTCCAGGAATTTTAATCAGGTTGTTTTCATCTGAAACTGCCTATGCTACAGTTGTTATATTTGCAAAATTTATAACATCACTGTTTAGCATCACTACGTTTGTGAATTTTAAAATTTCTTGGTACTTCAATAATTTAGCTGTGGAAAGTTATTATTAAATATAATCATTAAACAGATTGTCTTCAGATATTTCTATCACTACTCCTACAAAACTACCCCTGGAATAACCTTTACTTATACCATCAAATTTCCAGAAAACTTCCCATTGTGAAAGTCATGCATCAGAGGGAAAAACTGGGTATCAAACCAGGTCACATATAAATCTAGATCAGCCCTAAACCACCATTCCTCTGAGTTCTCCCAACTTACCTGAATGTAACCCCAGCCATCTCAAACATGAGCCTTGCAGCTGTTGTCTCATCACTGTCATGATACTTATCAGACATGAAAATAACTTCTTTTATACCTTAAAAGGTAGCAACAGAAGCCCATTAGTAAATGCATATACAAGTACTACAAAAGAAAAACAGAAGCAGGTGGAGCCCTTTGTAGCATCTATGATTAATTACTTTTTCCAAGTGTGCTTATAGACAATGTCCACTTACTCAAATATCTATCTGCTGTCTTCTAATCAGTAAAGGGTAGACTATATTTAATCTGCCCTCCAGTCTTCAGGGACTTCTTTTTAAACCAATGCTGAGTAAAAACATGTCAAAGTAGTCAAGCCTTAACCAATTAACACATTTTCTTCTTGCAGGTAAGCAAATATTCTTTACACACAAGGCAACTATTTAAAGGGCTGACGGGGGGCAGGGAGGGGGGGAGTAGAAGTGCTGGTCAACTCGGAGATTAGCACCACTATGCTCCCTAGAGGGGTTCTGAAGACCAATCTGGCCCAGCCCTGTGGAGTGCAGACCTGCTTCTTTTTCCTGATCTCATCAAACAGCAGCAATAACTTGACAGCTGGGAGTTCTGAGTGCCCTGCACTAAAAGCAGCTCCTCTCTAGCTTCAGAAGGGACCTGGAAGCTGGCTACACAGAGCACAGGCTGTTCAGTGCCCATGCATACTGCCACCTTGATACCTGTGGATGGCAGAGGAAACATCCCAAAGGGTTCAGTGGCAGCAGCCATGTGGGAGCCCAGGCCGTTTCTTAAGGGCAGCTTCTGATTTGCTGTCAGGAGCCCTCTTCTGGTCTGCTATCCACAGGGCCTGTGATAAACAGCCCCTTTAAACCATACATCTGGCTAAACATGCTAAGTCTTTAAATCTCAAGCTGAGAGCTTTATGGAGATAAAGTGTAGCTGAATAGTATATGTGACAGTTTGAAAAAGGTGAAATATTCAGAATACAATGTTGTGAATTTATGGTAAATGTAACGTAAGAAAAACTTAGAGTACTACCATTTCAGTCTTACATTTGTATGCAAAGATATGCTTAGAACCTCAAATATCTACCATGTATTAGATACAAATTAAAATTTGATACAGACTCTCAGCTGACCTTGTTTCTGACAGAAATTCATTTCCCTTCCTCCCCCCTAATCTATGCACAATATGTCAGAGAATGGTAAATTGACAGTAATTATATGCAAAGCCCGTGTTGTTTTTTGGCAGCTTGCAGTTTAAGAAGTTGCAAACTAAATTAAAAACATGCTAAGAATCACAGAGGATGCAATTAGTCTTAGAATACCTGGCACTATTCAAAAACAAAACACAAGAAATATCTTGCAAAGTTGATACTGCAATTAATTTAGATCTAAACAATAACAATTTAAGATCAAACACATCTGCAGTGAGCTACTTATGAGCAGCAGCAATGCAAATGTGACAATCAGAAAGGGCTGTTTCCTACCTGCCTGGATGATGAGCTTAGCACATTCATTACATGGGAACAAGGCGACATACATGCTACAGCCTTTCACATCGGCCGAATTCTTGTTCATAATGGCATTCAGCTCGGCATGGCACACTGAGTTTGAAAAGAAAGGGGAAAAAAATTTCAGATTTCATCTCATAAAGAATTTACCAACTGTTAAGCATTTTATTCCCCCCTCTGAAATAACATGTAATAGACTCAATAAAAACAAATTGATTATAAAGGCAAGTACTGAGAATACCAAGTGAGGGCACATGATCTGACTGAGATGGTGATTAGTGGGGAAACTGTTCACCGCAGCAGCCCTTGGTCTCTAAGTACCTAAAGCAGCCAGGAGGGGCTAAGGTCAAGTACCTTCACCCACTCTAAGCGGAGCAATAGCTCACTGCTCCACAAGACCCTGGGGTATTGAATTGCCCACATAAAATGGCTCATTTGTGTGTTGATATGCACACACAGAGATATTCAGTTTGGCCATTAACAGGGCAAGGAGCAATAAGAACAAGAGAATCAAGATGTGAAGCTGAGCATTTCTATCCTGAGGGATCTGCTTCACCTCACCATTCTCAGCACTGATGCACAAGGAAAAATACCAGCAGACAGCCAGCAGTTTGTTGCTCATAAGAAAAACATTCCTCTACTTAATGGCAATCATTGATATACTAGCCCATTCTGCCAATGATCCAAGGTCATCCTCAGGCTTGCCTGAGTTCAAGGTCAGAGGAAGAAACTTCCTTTCTACTTACATCTCTCAAAGCTGATCCCTTTCCAGCCCAGTGTAGCCAGCTGTTCCCATCACCTAACCATTGGATGTTCTCCCTCAGGAGGAAATCAAGACTCATAACAGAGACCTAGCTTTGCTCACCCTACTGGATGACGACGTTTCTGTACCTTTCTTTGTATTGTTACTGAATTTCTGGCTGTGTCATCTAAGACTATATTACGCACTCCTTATTGTAGGGACTCAAACTTGTACCTGGAGGAACTTCCAAAATACTAAACATCTGTGTCCCATCTTGCAAGTGCAATGGCCTGGAGTGTAGTAGGTATTTTTAAGGGATTTCCAAGGTAATTCAAATGTGCTTAGACAAGGTTAGGAAGTATTGCTTTGTAAAATTCCCTGGTCTCCCCCAACACATACCTATGCACACAAGTGCCAAAATATTTGTTGAATGAATTAATGAATATCTGGATGTGGGCTAAATCATTTAAAACTTCTAGAATAGGGCTGGGGATATAGCTTGGCAGTCTAAATGCCTGCTTGACAAGCGCAAAGAGCCGGGTTTGATCCCTGGTACCGCATGCCATGCCAGCCCTGAAACCCTGGATGCACTGTGCTGGCCACTGAAACTGGGTATGGTGGCGCAAGCCTGTAATCTCAGCAATGGGGAGACTGAGATAGGAGGATCACTAGAGTCTAAACTGTGTAGAAAGACCCTGTAGGGGAGAAAAAAAAAAAAAAAAAAAAAACCTCCTAGAATATAACCTGTGAGACCTTTACTCCCTACCCTCTCCAAACAGTAGCCCTCCACACTAGCTGGGTACCTTTTCAGTAGTTCTGAGGCCTTAAATGCATGACTTCCACACATGTCTCTCAGGACTTCCTCTGTAATCATTGCACATTTACTAAGAATCTACTATGGCTCAAATAGGTGAAGGCCCTGTGCCACCTTCCTCTGCCAGCCTTCAGTTATGGGTTTTTGTGTCCTGCAGCAGTTTGGTCATGCTGCAAGCAGAAAGTCAACCAAGAGCTCTCAGAAAATGTAGTATGGACTGCATCCTTATTTTAGGCTAGGAATAACATGTTTTGGCAGGTTTCAGTCATGTATGAAAATAAAATGAACAGTGTCTGGCATAGCTGGGAAGTCTAAAGGAACAAGCTGCACCCAGTCAGATCACAGCCCATCAGAGAATAAACACAGCTTGCCACAGAGGGACCTCAAGCCACATCCCCAAAGACTTAGTGGTCTGACAAACCAACAGGGCCATGGGAGGATGAGGACAGAGAAATGTGCAGAAAGAGCAACAAGGCCACGTAGGCACTGGCCTGGACAGGCTCCCTCAGTGCCTTTTCCCCTGGTGATCAAGATGTTCCAGAAGTGGGCATTAGCATTGCTCAATGTTAAAAACAATTAGAAGTAATTGTTTCTTTTGCTTCTCCCTGGAGGGCAGAACCCAGCCTTCTAGTTCTCTGTAACTTCCCCAGAGTCCAATGCAATGTCATGAACATAATGGGTGTTAAATATTTATTGAATGAATAAAACAGAAAATGGAGATTCTAATTATTAATGGAGATGTTAAAAAATACCAAAAGTCCTCTTAAATTCAAGTATCAAAAACAGGCTTTTCCATCTAATAAATACTTTTATGGTATTGTTATTCATATTCAGAACAGAAGCTGAGTCTGTTATAAAACACTACTTTGATGTCTTCTTTTGAATCCCAAAGAACTGTCACACTGGTGATATTCCTTTAATTCATCTAGGTAGTTTAGACCAAATTTAACATCACAGGTCTGGATTCATTAGTGAGAACTGCTGTATGAAACAGATTCTCCTGGGCAGTACCTGGTGTCCTTTTGTATAAAGGGTGGTTGACAGAAATAACACACAGGTGAATAAACAAACTTCCTTTCTCTCTAAAAAAAAAGAAAAAGATCAGGTCTACTGGGCACTATGAACACATAAGGGTCAGATTACACAGGAGGTTCTTTATAAGGAACAGTTCCTAACCCACAATCCCTCACACAAAAATCTACAGTATCGGAAAGAACACTCAAGTGCCCCGCCTAAAGACTAAAAATACACCTAACTCTTTGATTTCTCTTATTCAGTCCTATACTTTCAATTTCAGAAATGAGACATCAGCACCTTGGCCCATCTATTACTGGCCTCCTGGCTGCATGTAAGGCAGTGGTGGTGAATCTACAGTGCACGTGCTGTCCAGCAAGCCGTTATCGCTGAAAGCTCTAAAAGTCTTGCAGCCACTGAAAGGGGTTAAAGAGAGGAACCCACCCCCCCCCCAAGGAAGCACTGTACACCTCAATCTGGACCTGCCCACCTAATTTCCACTTTGTAACTCCCCACATGCCATCCATCCCAGTCCCAAAGTTTAGTCTGGCCTTTCTGGCCTAACATTTGCCCCTCAGGACCAGGGCTTCCATGGGCCCTGTGGCTCTGACTCCAAACTTCCCTTCACAGTCCCTTTTATCCAAATTGGTACTCCTCAGTCTTTAGGCCCCAGCCACTATACTTTCCTCAAAAAACAAAATGAATAGACCAACTTGACCAGCCATTCAAGTTGTTTCACATAGGTAAGTCAGGGTAGAGTATTAGGGGCTCATTTCTTAGATAGGCCTTCTACACTGATCAATAATAGGGAACCACCAAGTATACTTCTGGATACAAATATCATTTAAAATTAATATGCCTCCTGGCTCTGGCTAGCCAACCCATAAGGTCACATACCTTTGTCCATTATACTTTCCACTTCAGGAGGCAGGTATGGAGAAAGAATGTGCTACAAGGGTTGAACCTGAGTTCAATCAAGGTCAAATTGATCTTTGACAAGGTATATTATGTCCTTTGACAAAGTAAGTGACTTTTGAGTTTGCACAATTAACACTGGCTCTGCAAGTTATTTCCAACAGGCATAAAAGCAATTGTAAAAGTATCAAGTACATTTATTTTTACCCTTTTCCTAAACTTCCCTGTTCATTCTGCAGGCCTTAAGAACAGCTCTTCTCCAAGACAAGCTTTCACTAACAAAATATGAGTTTCCTCTCTTGGTGCCCCCTGCAAGGCCCTGGCTCACCACAACCAGCTTTGAGAGTGCTGCTGCCCTCTCCTCCATTCTCTTCCTTTAATCATGCACACTTAGTCATCCTCCTATACCAGCCATCTACTCAACACTTAAAGTCTCTTTTCTCCTTTTTTGGGAGAAATCATCCTTTCTGCAATTGCTACTCCTAATTTTTTTTAAAAAAATAAAAAATAGAAAGAAATATTACAAATGATACAGAATTTCACTAAATAAGATAGAAATTCAAAATGATTATTATATTGCATATTATTGTCTTCAAATTAGTTGTTCAGATTACCAGATATAAGCATGCAAACAGGTCAAAAAATAATAAAAAATAAAAGAAAAAAAAACAGAAGCATTAACTACTGCTTTTAATAATAGGCCAGTAGAAATCAGCAGGTATTATCCAAGGCATCCTTTATATATTCATAAATGCTTTTTCTTCTTTCTTTCTTTTCTCTTTTTTTCTCATCCCAGTTATTCTTTCCCTTTGAATAACTTCTTTCCCTTTCACAGTATTTATTGTACCTTTCAGCTTTATTTATTATTTGAGTTTTTAAAATAATTACTTCTTGATCTTGTAATGCAGACATACCCTCTAGTGTTCTTTAAAACAATGTTTTCAAAGTGAAAGTCATAAAATCAGTAAATTACTTTTTTTCTTTAATAAAATGGATAAGAGCAAAGATCAGAATGCATCCCACATGCAAGGATAAATACTGCTCCTCAAATCTCTTGTTTCAGGAATGTGTGTTTCAAGTATGAACTATGGGTGCTGAGCCACTATGTAGCAAGTGTGGGAAATGCTACCTTATGGACACACGTTGGCCTCAGTATTACGTTGGTATGTGTGGATGTTATGGTTTGTGTCTAGGTGTCCCCTCAAAGCCCCATGCAGTCTTAGGGCAGCCTCTGGAGTTTGTGATTATTGTGGTTGTGGATGCTGCACCCACCCTGGGACAGGTAATTTGCATCACAATGTAAGGAGGGAAGAGAAGCTAGCAGCTTGAGCTGCTGCTACCTCCCCCTTGAGCTCTTGGCCACCAGCATAAAAGGTTGCTCTCTGCTATGTGCCACTCTGTCTTGGAGCCAGCTGAGTGTGGACTGAAACCTCCAGTAACTGTGAGCTAAATAACACCTTCCTTCCTTCATTTTGGGTGTCGGGTATTTGTCCCAGCAACGAGAGAAGAGTAACTAAGAATTTGGTACCAAGATTTCTAAAAAAGAAAAAGTCCTGCAGTATTTCCCGATTTCTGCAGTACAGATACTCCTAGTGCATGAAGTGGGAA